CTACAATTTGTAATAGATTTTTTAGGTAACATCATGAATATCCACCTATATGTCTACTTAAAAGAAATCAAAGAAAATAAGACATCTGTGAATTCTGTTCTAAAATTTTCCTCCATCCCCAACTAAAGCCACTATACATATGTTTTGCTACACTAGCAGGACAAAGCTACTAAAATAAACAAAACAAAACAAAAAACCTCAAGACAAACAGTTGGTTTGATGACTAAGCCATAAGCTGTGCCTCTCTGGGAAACGGAGTAGGCAGTGAGTCAGTATCCTGCCGCTCAGACCGGCAGTTGCTCAGTGGCGCTCACCCTTTTTTATCCAGGCCTGTCATGTTACCCCAGGTGTGTATTGACTCAGGAAACTGGAAGGTGTAGACAACTGTGAGAACCAGCATGGTGTACATAACCACCGACATCCAGAAGTACTTCAGGATCCTTCGCCACCACTCGTAGTGCACCTTCATGACAAGAATTAGAAGAGGACATCTGGATTTATGTGACTTCTCAGTCTGCCTCTGGCTGTTGCTGAGAGTTAGGAATACAAAATGTGCTACGAACCTGGAAAGCACATACTTTATGAACTCACTTAACAAATGACAGCAAATTCTGTGTTTGGGAAATTGAATTTAGGAAGTTTATGGCATCATATTCATATCTACACTTTAAATATATACTCCAAAAAATATAAACAACATTAAATATCCTTATTTCACAGACTTATTTCCACATTTGGAAGGCTTCGAAAACAATTATACAGATCACGATTTTAAACATCCCACATATTCCCCAAATGTTAATAATAAATAATATAGAAATACGCAAGGTATTTACACATAAACAGAAGGCAATTCTTTATAATAAACACTGTTAGTATGCTTGGCCTTGTATATTTTCCCCCTGTTAAATGCATATGTATTATGGTTTTATATCTTTAGTCCATTGACCTTTTAGTAGAATGAAAATCATTTACATGCCCTAAATTGGAAGAATGTTAAACTGCATCATTTCCATCAAATACAATGACAATACATTTTACTTTACAGTTTATATTAAT